AGCTGGCTCACCTTGAGCTTGCCGCTCGTCTTGAGGTACGGCTTGTTGAGGGCGCCCATGGGCGCCGCCTAGCTGTCGGCGAACCGCGCGTCGGGGCACGACCTTGAAGCTCACCTCCGCGTCGACGACGTCCGCGGCCGGCGGCGGCGGCGGCGCCCGCGGCGCGGCCGCGGGCGGCGGCGGCGGCGGCGCCGCCGCCGCCCCCGCGTCCGCGAGGCGCAGCTTCTTCCGCGCGGCGCGGTCCCGCCGGTCCCGCTGGCTCAGCTCCGGGAAGATCTTGTCGACGAGCGACCTGTGCCGGAAACGACCGGTGGAACGCCCCGTCCGGCAAACACTTCTCTATCTCGGTCGAATCGAAGTCGAATCGGCCGATTTTCGGACGGATCGTTTTCTCTCGGCGGATTCTTTTTAGAAAAAGCTCCATGTCACACGCGTGCTCATACTTGACCATTGAAGTCGTGTTGAGAATATGTTCGTTTCCCGCCCGGCGAGCGACTGCATCGTCCGGTCGTGGAGGATGCCCTGCATCGGGTGGGGGCCCAGGCCCGCGTTGCAGTGGGGGCAGACGGGCGCCGGCGCCGTCTCCAGGTGCCGCAGCAGGCACCCCTTGCAGAAGGTGTGGAGGCACTCGGTGATCGTGTGCGCGTCCCGGTAGTAGCCGTCGCACAACCGGCAGACGAGGTGCGCGTTGACGTCGCGGACGGCGAAGGTGATCTCCTTGAAGTCGGCGTCGGGGTCGTCGCAGGGCACGCGCGGCGGGCTCCGGCGCCGCTCGCCGCGGCGCCCGCGCTTCCGGATCGACGACGGGGGAACGAACTCGCCGTCCGCGGCGTCGACGTCCGGCGCCGCGCCGTCGTCGTCGTCGTCCGCCGAGTCCTCGAGGTCGTCCTTGTAGACCACGCCCGCGGGCGCGTCCTCGCCCTCGCCCGCCGCCGCCGGGGCGTCGGCCTCGCCGGGCGCCTCCGGCGTCGCGGCGCGCGGAGCGCCGCCGTCGCCGCCGGGCTCGGGCGCGCCGGCCTCGGCGCGGTCCTCCTCCACCTCGGGCGGCGGCGCGGCGTCCATGGCGCGCACCCGCGGGTGGGCGGGCGAGGGCGTCGGCTCGGCGCCTTGGGTGCTCTCCCTCGCTTCGGGACGTGCTTCGGGTCGGTCTCGTTGCGGACCGCGGCGAGCCGCTCGGGCCGCGGTCGACGGGGTCGGACTCTTGACAAGACTTAGTGGAGGGCCGGCGCGAAGCTCTTAGTCCCCCCCCCCGGGTCGACATGGGCCGGGCCGCCCTCTGGGCGCTCGTCGCCTGCGCCTGGGCGACGGCGTCGACGCCGCCCCCCCAGTCCATCGACGTCCTCGAGGTGGCCGACGCCGGCCGCATCACGGGCCGCGCCGTCGCCCCGGAGAGCGGCGACGACGTCGAGGTCGTCTTCGACCTGCGGGGGGCGTCCGAGGACGAGGACGGGTCCCCCGTCTTCGCCGACGTCTCCTGGCGCCGGCGCCGCGCGCCGCACGCGATGCGCGCCGAGGCGCCGGTCGCGTGCGTTCGCCTCGAGGAGCCGTTCGCGGTGCGGACGCGCGTGGACCACGAGCTGCTCGTGCGCCGGCGGGACACGGGCGGCGTCCTCGCCCACGTCGACGTGCGGGCCGCGCGCGCGGGCAGCGCCGGCGACGCGACGCGCGGAGTCTGGGACGGCGGAAGGAACGCGTCCGAGGGCCGCGTCCGCCTCCGCGGCGGCGAAGTCGCGCGCGCGCGGCGGTCCCGGCGGCCGCGGGCCTTCGTCGGGCCCGTCGAGCACCCGCCCCTGCGGGTCGGCGAGGACTGCGAGGAGAAGAGCGCGGACCAGCGTGGATTTCAAACGGCGAGCCGGGTGATCCCGACCAAACCTCGGAACTCTCTCGCTCGGTCACGTCGACGTCGGTGCGGCCGATGTTTGGACGAATCGATCGCTCTCGTCGAGTCCTCGAAGCACAGCAGAAAGCGTCTGGTCCAAACCGTTCGATTACGCGCACATTGAAGTCGGGTGGAAGATGTGGCATCCGCGCAGGCTCGGACCGCGCGTGCGCGCGCGCGAAGCTGTTAGACAAGCGGCTCCACGCGATGAAGATCGCGGAGATCGAGGACCGCGTCGCGTTCACGGACGCCCAGCTCGCGCGGGCGGCGCAGGAGAAGGACGCCCTCGAGGCCGAGCGGCGGCTTTCCGCCGCCGCGGCGCGGTGGGACCGCGTCGCCGCGTACGGGCCGTCGCGCGCCGCGAGGACATCACATCTTCCACCCGACTTCAATGTGAACGGACGGCGCCGGAATCTTCGGCCATGCTTCGAGCACTCGACGAGAGCGATCGATTCGTCCGAAGATCGGCCGCGTCGACGTCGACGCGACCGAACTCGAGAGTTGCGAAGTCCGGCGGGGACCACCCGGCTCACTGGTTGATTTCCACGCAGGTCGCCCGCGGGGCTCCGCGCGTTCCTGGGAGCGCTCGGCGGCACGTTCCTGCTCATCGGGTGCTGGCTGACCTTCGCGAGCGACGCGCGGCGGCTCGCGGCGTTCCGGCGTCGAGTCGCGAAGCCGCTCCGGGCCCGGTGGCGCGCCGCGCGGCGCAGGGCCGCGGCGTGGGCCGAGCGCGCCGCCGCGCGCTTCGTTCGGAAGCGGCCGCCGCCGCGGCACAAGCGGCCCGTGGCCTTCGTCGAGGACAGCGACGGCGCGCCGAGCGCCGCGGCGACGCCCGCGGCGAGCGCGTCGGGCTCGAGCCCCCTGAGCCCCGGCGCGCCGAGCCCGGCGTCGTCGAGGACGGCGACGTCGCCCGAGTCCGCGGCGAGCCCGAGCGACGTGACGCGCGCCAAGGCGCTCCTGGGTAAGCTGCGGGCCGCCGCGCGGCTCCGCTGCGTCGACGGCTGCGAGCTGTGTGGAAATCGAACAGTGAGCTGGGACGTCGGGGCCAAACTTCAGAATTCTCTAGCTCGGTCAAATCGAAGTCGATTCGGCTGATTTTTGGACGAATCGATTACTCTCAGCGAGTTCTCGAAGCATGGCGAAAATGCTCGTGTCAAAACATTCGAATACGCGCGCATTGAAGTCGGGTTGAAGATTTGATTTCCACACAGGCTGCGAGCTCGCCTGCGCGGAGATCGACTTCCTCCTCGCCGAGGTCGCGGCGAAGCGCGTCGCGGCGCGCGCGGGCCGCCGGGGCTGGCAGCACGCGCTCCTCGAGGACGAGGCGCGGGCCGTCGCGGCGGCGCTGCCGGCCTGGGCCGCCGTCGAGGCCCGCGTCGACGCCGCGGCCGACGTCGAGAGCCTCGAGGCCGCGATGGCCGCGGCCGCGGCCGCGGGCTTCTCGTCGAAGACGACGGCCATGAAGCGGGCGAAGAAGCGCCTCAAGGGGCTCCTCGACGACCTGCGCGGCGAGGTCGACGCCGGCGGCGGCTCCGACGACTCGGACGACGACGACGCGCGCGGCGCGCCGGCGCCCCGGGCGCCCGAGGCGCCCGAGGCGCCCGAGGCGCCCCCGGCGCCCCGGGCGCCGACGCCCAAGGCGCCGACGCCCGCGGCGTCGCCGCCCGCGGCGTCGCCGCCCGGGGCGCCCGCGTCGCCGCCCGGCCTCGGCGGCCCCGCGCCGCCGGGCCTCGGCCCCGCGCACGCGCCGCCGGGCCTCGGCGCGGCGCCGCCGGGCCTCGCGCCGTCGGCGCCGGCGCGGCGGCCGTCGGCCGAGGCGCGCGCGGGCCGCGCGGCGACGGAGCTCGCCGAGGACCTGCGGCGGCGCGCGGCGCGCGGCGACGCGGACGCGGCGTTCCACCTCCGATCGTCTCGGGCGGGGCCTCGGCGTCGCCCAGGACCAGGACGAGTCGCGGCGCCTCCTCGAGCAGGCCGCCGCCGCGGGCCACGGCGACGCGCGGTCGCTCCTCGAGATCGCCGCGGGCGGCCTCGAGGACGACGCCGAGCCGGAGGCGCCGGAGGCGCCGCGGCCGCCGAGCCCCGCGGGCCTGCCCGAGCCGCCGCCGCCGCCGCCGCGCCGCGCCCACGTGCGCCGGCCGTCGAACCACGACATCGAGGTGTCCATGTCGCTCTTCGCGTCGCCCTTCGGCTGGGACCAGGCCGGCGCGGGGGGCACGGCGAAGAGCGCCGCGGAGCGGGGCTCGCCCTGGGACGGGCCCGAGCTCGCGACGCCGTCGGCGCTGCTCGCGCGGCGCGAGCGGCCCGACGCGGGCGAGCGCGCGCGCGACGCGGCGGAAGCCCGCGCGCGCGACGCGGCCGTCGCCGACTTCTTCGGCGAGCGGTCCGAGTCGGGCTTCGCGTCCTTCCTCGCGGAGCTCCGCGCGCCAGCGGCGGCGGCGGCGGCCGCGGCGCCGCCGCCGGCGCCCGCGGCGGCGCCGCGCGTGCTCGGCCAGGTGCGCTGGTTCGCCGCGGACCGCAACTACGGCTTCATCGTCCCTCACCCGGCGGGCGCGGACTGCTTCGTCCACGCGGGCGACCTCGGCGCCGTCTTCGGCCCGCTCGAGGCCGACGACTTCGTCGAGTTCGAGCGCGCCGAGTACCGGGGCAAGCCCAAGGCGACGGCCGTGCTCCGCCTGAGCCGCGAGGAGTACGTCGCCAAGGCGAACGCGGCGGCGAGCCCGAGCGCCGGCGCCGACGAGCTCTGGGCCAAGGCGCGGACGAAGAGGCTCGACGACCTGCCGCGGCTCGCGCGCGTCCGCTGGTTCGAGGTCGCGAAGAAGTACGGCTTCCTCGTGCCCCTCGAGGGCGGCGCGGACCACTTCCTCCACCTCCGCGACCTCGAGGACGCCCAGGCCATCCGCGTCGGCGACGTCGTCACCTACCGCCTCGCGGCCTTCAACGGCAAGACCAAGGCCTGCCGCGTCGCGAAAGCGACGCCCGCGGCCTACGCGGCGGCGACGCTCGCGCACGAGAAGCGCACCGTGTCGCTCCGCGACGCCGCCGCGGAGATGGCCA